ATATATGTATAATTTTATAAATTATAGAAAACACAATTTTATTGAAAAATAACTTTGAATGATGATAATGAAGAAAAGTATGAGGTATATTATAGTATGAATCAAAAAAGTGAACTAGAGTTGCTTGGAAGATGTATAATGGTAATTCTTCTGGTCCGTTTGAGACGAATGTTGAGATTTATGCCAGATATGAATATGGAGCTTTGGTGAATAATTCCTTAATATAATCTTGAAGACTAAAATGATACAGAACGAGTGGAGAAGAAATATTTGTTACTATTCTTTAAGAATAGGGATTCTCAAGATTATGATAAATATAAAGAAAAGGAACTTATTTACTGTATGATACATTTATGGGAGAGAGCAATGGTATATATATTTAGAAAATTATATTTTGGAGGGCCACTTCAGTTTTCCTGCTCGAAAAATTATTTATGGAAATGATATTTTTGTGAAGACGTTTAATTGTGAAGTGTAGAGAGCAGAGAAAGGATCATCATATAGTTTTTATCGTATTGTTTTGTTCGACAAGAAATGAAAAAAAATGTTAATATTTAAGTTGAGCTTGTTGTAAATGAGGATAATTTTTCAAATTATTTATGAATTGGTTTGTTTGCTAGATAACAAAAATTATAGATAAAAGTATAAGATCAAAGAAAGAAACACCAAAAACAAAAAACACTCGATTAGTTCTAGAAAAAATGTTTTGAAAGTCTAAATGCATTTCTTTCAGAATTTTATTAATTATGATAATCTTCAACCCTTTTTACGCTGTTGATCCAAACATTGTTTTTATAATGTCAAACCGAAGGCCCTTCTCATCCCTTTTTTATTAGAAACGCCTATTTCGTTTCCCTTCTTAAGTTGTTGATCCAAAGATTGGTTTGATAATATCAAAACATAGGCCCTTCTCATCCTTTTCTTATTAGAAGAGCCTCTTTCATTTCTTTCTTTCTAAATGACACTAGTGGAAGAGAAGAATAAAATGTTCCAAAACTAGCACAATTCTTTGTTGGTCAAATCATCTCTCTAGTTGGAAAAAACTGAAGCCAAGTTGGAAAGAAGGGTAGAAATAGCAAAAATTAGTAGGAAACACATGCATTGTGTAAAGTTAGAAGGGAACTATATATAAACAAAAAAATAGATATAGCACATGAAGTTATTTTATTATTTATTTTTTTAAATAAAGTACACATTTTCAAAGTATTTTGAAGCTTCATTTCTTATCACCTTCATTTTATTCATATTATAATTAATCTCGTCACACCTTGCTTTGAAAAAAAACTTCTATTTGCAGCATTAAGAAATCATACAATGGGTTTACATTTAGCATTTTAGAAGTTAATTATATTTAAATAATTACAATTTTTTATTTTTATATATTTATTTATTTATCTTTTGGAATACTCCTTAAAGATGAACTTGCATGTTCTAGTATGACATTTTGAAATTCAAACTTGATCTATATGCCCTATGAAGTGTTCGCATCAATCTCGTAAATTATGTATAAATCATCCAAATAATATTCACATTTTAAAAATAAAAATTTATTTGATATTGTCTTTTGAATGATCATATGAACTTTTATATGTTAAAAATATGTAAAAATAAAAGTTAAAAGAAGTTACTTATTATCTTTCTTCCTAATAAACTTCACACGAATATGATTATAGTCATTTTTATTTTGATGGTCATATATATCATCTCTAAGGTTGTGGGACCACCTTTCACTAATGGAGATTCCCATAGATGATATCATTATCAATGTGGAGAAGCTGAATATTAGGTTGAACTTCTTGAATTATACATTTCTACTTTTATATATATATATATATATATATATATA